GAGGTTTTCATTACATGGTTTTCATGTTTCAATACTTTAAAGGTAGATTTATGAATTTGGAAATGTCTTTTGTGTGTTTTATATGTTAGCTTCTAAAAAGTTGTCAATTCACCATAATGTGACTGTTTTATTTATTATTTAAGGATACAAAAAATTTTTTTAAGTATTTCTCAATTTTGATGAGATTTTGAATATGTAGGGTCTTTTCATATATGAGCTAGACTTTGGAATATTTTTTATAAGACATCTCGGAAGATTTCTTGGTATAAAAATGTATCGTTTGTATAAAGAAAATTTACACATTTGCTCTCTTTTTCTCATATGAATGTAGCAAAAATGTAATGTTTATCTAGTTTTTGCAAGTATTTCATTACGTAGCTCTCATATTTCTCTATTTTTTAGATATGTATTTCTGTGTGTTTTATAGGTTAGATTCTAAAAATTTATAGATTCAACATAGTGTAACTATTTTATTTATTATTTAAGTATAAAAATTATTTTGAATTTTTTCTTTGTTTTGATGAAATTTGAACATTTTTATATGCAGGTTTTTTCGATGTAGAGATTTTTCAGAAGGTTTCTCGGAAAACTTCCTAGAAATTTTCTAAAGCATTTTATAATAAAAAGTTTCCTATGAAGTATTCTAATCCGTGTTATGCTAGATGACTTTTTTAAGAAGACTTTCTGTAGAAGTCTTAAGAACCAAAAATATCTCATCTAAGATGAGTCCAAACTTATATGTGTAGAGGATGATCGAAGATCCATATTTTATATTTTTTGTAATGGTCTATTGTATATTTTTTAGTTGTTAATTATTTTAAGATTTTTAACATTAAAATCTCTCAACAAAGTATGTTTTAGATAAAAACTTCCAAACTAAGTATTTAACGAATAAATCTTAAATTAATTTTATTTAATGAATTAAACCCTCGTCGGTCATAATTACAATTACTATCGGTAAATCTTTATTTTAGGAGTTTCTACATAGAGTAAACATAGTTGAAGGGTTTTACAATTAAAATATAAAAAACAAATTTATAACATTATCTAAAAATTAGTAACTTAAACTTTCAAAATTAATTTTTTAAAAACTTTCTGTAAATATATGAATTTTATTTGTTTTTAACATCAATAATAAATATATATATATATATAAATTAAAATTGTAAAAAAATATAATAAAAATTATTTAAATATTTATTATTACGTTTTATTAGATAGATATAATTTTTATTCTATTTTCTTATTTTAAAATTTATTAAATCTGTAGATAATTTTTGTCATATTTTCTGAGTTTTTACATTTTTAATTTATACATATATAATGTTTATTTTAAAAGGATAACAAATCACATTCATATATTTACAGAATTTTTTAAAAATGCTAATTTTAAAAATTAATATTACGAATTTTTAGATAATATTATTATATTTTGAACCTTTGATATGTAGTGATAAAACTCCTAAACTAAAGATTTACCTGTAGTAATGGTAACTAGGTGATTTTCCCGTGCTCATGCACGGGTATAAATAATTTTAAAGTAAATATATAATAATAAATGATTACTATATAGTTTTAATTTTAAATTAATTTATAATTTATATGCATCATTTATATTAATAATATTATATTACTTTAATTATACTATAATTTTATATATGTTATATCTAGTCAATTTTGTTGTTTTTACGGTTGATTTAGTTATCATTTGGATAAATTGGATTGTATCTTTGAATTCAACTATAATATTTTAAAATATATTAATTTTTAATTAATTACTTATTTGCATTTAGTGAGTGTTGTCTTAAATATGTAAATATATTTTAGGAAAATTATGTATAACTTAAGATATATTGTGCTTAGAATGAATTAAACATTAACTAAAGTGTCTGATTCCAAAATACGTAAATTAATATAACAATAATATTATAAAGTCTCATGCATATATATAAATTTTACAAAAGAACTAAAATTTTAAGAGTTGGTTAATATTTATTTTCATTGGTTAATATGTTTTAAGTTATCCTATGATCAACAGAGGGTTACATGCATAAGTAATTGATACATTTTTGGAAGCTCATGAACACACATCAATATTTACAATAATTAAAATATTTATAAATTCTAAATAACTTTATGCTTTAGATTTATTGAATGTAAACTGAAATTTATTTTAAATAATCTTAAAAGTGAGAATTAAGATATTCTTTGGTATTTTGATGGTTATATTTAGTTTCATAAACATAAAAACATAAAATTTAAAAGAAAATTTAATATTAAAAAAACAAATAATTTTAATAATGATAAAAGATCATGTATCTAGCTCGTTAGACTAACTGTTAATTATTTAATCGACCGATGTTTAGTGTTAAATTTATTTTTTGTTTTTAATATCTCTTAAAATAAGTAGTACATAAAATTGTGATTGTATTTGAAAATAATATTATATAAGTAAATAAATCAATAATACTAATTATAAACTATTTTTATTACTCTAAAAGAATATTTTATGTTATTTAAAAATAATTTGAATGTATTATTACTATTTTGTGAACTTTTTTTTATGAAATCATATTATATATACATATATTTTTTCGTTTTCAATTTATTATTTATGACTTTATAAATAATTTCCTTTTTATTACATATATTTTTGGAAGATTTTGAAAAGGAAACTAAATAAAAGAATTAATAATATTATTTTTATCTAATTTTAATTCATTAAGGGTATAAGTGTAATCAACCATCATGACAATGAACGTGAGAGCGACACATAGGAAACTGACTTCTCAAATAATATTATAGAGATTATGACCGACGAGAGTTTAATTCATTAAATAAAGTTAATTTGGAGTTTTATGTTAAATACTTAGTTTATGAGTTTTTATCTAAAACAAATTTAGTTGAGGGATTTTAATGTTAAAATTCATGTTATAATAATGTCAAATATTTGTGGCAAAATAATATTTTGAGATATCTTCAGTTTACTAATAAGGATTTCATTAAAAGTGTTTTTGATGTATCAGAATGATTTTGTGTAGCTGAGTGAAGAACAGAACATGACCAAACATCCTGATCTATCTTCCAAAAAGAATATATAATTATGATTATTATGACATAAACGAGAAAATATACAACGAGGTAGAGAACTAGATTGACCAAGTTTTACCTCTTGTGCAGCCTAAAACAAGTCAACATAGAACATAACTTAGAGAAAAAAAAACATAAACTTGGCAAGCATGACGAATCAGCTAGTCATTGATCAGATAACTATGAAATAAGAAAGCTATTCTATAACAATCAACATCATATGAAGCCTCTCAGCGCGGTGGTGGGACAACAGAAGCTGCGTCTCAGCCAAAATTAGTTATGGTTATGCAAGAGATAAGGATCTTATGTATACCTAGTTAGAATTAGTTATAGTCGTCGAGAAGCATATGCTCTTGACTCATGAGCACCACATATATGAGAAGTTAACAGACTTAACCAAGTGTGGATAGATTCATGTTCTTGGTGAGAGTTCTAATCGACTGTAAATAATATGTGAATATCATTATTGACATTAATCCAGCTGCTATCTGGTGTCTTTTTCACATTCCGTATTGCCCAGCATCTTCATACACATTAGACATCAATACATAACCGCCGTAATGCTTTGGGTGAGCTCATGTGACCACTTTCAGATTCTATTTTAAATTGTCTTTATAAGCAGCATGAAATCTACTTGGAAAAGGTGGTAAGAGAATATGGAAGATAACATTAATGGGCTTAGTATAAATAATAGAAAGAAAGGCCTTATAATAAACAGGCCCATTTAAGCTGATATCGATTTCTACAGTCCCACATCGTTCAGCTGAAGAGAAGAAGCTAAGTTTATATACCGATGAAGTCAGGAAGATGTTTGTCCCTTCGGGGACATCCGATAAAATTGGAACGATACAGAGAAGATTAGCATGGCCCCTGCGCAAGGATGACACGCACAAATCGAGAGAAATGGTCCAAATTTTTTTTGATTTTTTTTTTTATCGATTCTTTCTTCATCTGTTCTTCTGGGTTTTGATTTCTAGGGTTTTCTGAGTCAGAACTGACGTTTTGGGTGCAAATCTGCGCGAAAATTAGTCACTACATGTTTTAGAAACCTTGATATAGTAGGGATCTGGTTTCTTTAATTAAACTTACTGGAACTGAACTTTGATTAGCTAAGACAATCAGATTAGTTCGTTGTTGCAGCTCTGATTGTCGGAGAAAATTGTTTTTTCTCTGTTTGTTTGCTTTGAGACGGCGGCACAAACGCCCTTTGTCAAACTAGATTACCGGTACAATGTTCCGGTTAGGTTATCAGTTTTTGGGTAAACCAAAGGAATTAGTTTTTTTTTTGCCATTACCGTTTAGTTTGTCGGAAGATTTATTGTGAGAAGAATTTGAATGAAGAGGTGTTTTGGTAGTTTTAATTTGGTTAACATGTTTTTCAGAGAAACAGACATCTATGAGTTTGAGGCGCTTGCTTGCCAATATCTTAGGTCTATTGCAATCTGCTAAACTTGTCTAGGACACCAAAGTCACTGAACTTCCATCATGATGAGTCTGAGTTTGAAGAGCAGAACATAGTTCAATATTTCTGATCTATCAGTCTAAGTGAATATGCGTATGACCCTCATGACAAGAACCAGAAGAGATACAACAGGATTGTATTTCATTAAAAGTGTTTTTGATGTATCACAATGAACTATTTTAGCTGAGTGAGAAGCAGAACATTACCAAGCATCCTGCTTATGATCCTCATGACAATAACCAGAAGAGATAACTCCTTAGTTCACCACTGAAGTGAGGACATTGAGTCTACAATGTAAATAAATAGAATGCATTTCATTGAAGTGTGGTTTATCTGATTTATGATCACAATGATTTTGTTTAGCGGAATGAAAAGCAGAACAAGACCAAACATCTTCCAAAAGAAAATATAATTATGATTATTATGACATAAACGAGAAAAGATACAACGAGGTAGAGAACTAGATTGACCAAGTTTTAGCTCTTGTGCAGCTTAAAACAAGTCAACATAGAACATAACATAGAGAAAGAAAAAAAAACACAAACTTGACAAGCATGAAAGCTAGTCCCTGATCAGATAAGTATGAAAATAAGAAAACTATTCTAAACCAAACAATCAACATATGAAGCCTCTCAGAGTCGGCCTTCCAGCTTTCTGCTACTTCTTATCCTCATCTCTAGCAACAATCTTGTACTTTCCACTTTCCTGTTGCTGACAAACAAAAACTCATCATCAAAACTGAGCCCTAAACTCAAATCCACAACTAAACAGAAACAGAACAAAAAAAAAACATCAGATAAGTATGATCCAAATCTTACCCTTTCCCACAGCTTAGTATGCTCACTGCAAAACCCAACAACAATACCACCACCACTCCTCCTCTTCCCTTCACGATACTCAACACAAAGATCTTCCTTCAACCCACAACTAACATGAAAACCCAACTGACACTTCATCTCCGAACACTCAATAACACACCCACCCCTCACCTTACAAACATAACACCTCTCTTTCCATCTCTTACTCGGTATCTCCCCGCAACAAATCCCTTCTCTTCCTTCAGGATCCTCAAAGTAAACTTCAGGCACAAACAGCGCGCAAGTAATATGAGCCCAACGACCATCCTTCGTGGGCTTCATAGCTCCACCTTTAGTCGTACACAAACAACAAGAGAAAGTCTTTTTCTCTCTGCTGTTCTTTAATGACATTGACGCGGTACAATAACTGCAAAACCAATCACCTTCTGGTATGGCTTTAACCAGAGGGTTACCGTAACAAGAAGCATGGACCATTAAATCGCAACCGTCACAGAAGACGATGGGGTTTGATGGTTCACCATCTGTGCTTTGACATACACCACACATTATCCCATCTTCTTCTTCCTCCAGAGGATCTATATTCTCTTTATTGTTATCATTGTCTTCTTCTTCTTCTTCTACTTGTGGATTCTTCTTCTTCTTCTTGATTGCGTCTTCGTCTACACAAGGCTTATACTCGATGTTGAGATCGATAGGTGATAAGGGATTACCGGAGATTAGATTTGGATCGATCGCCCAGATCCTCTTCTTAGCCGGGAGACAACGGTAGGTAGGGACGGAGTTTTCGGTTTCGTCATCGTAATCAACACGAGAGTGCTTCCTCTTCTTCCCTGGTAACTGTGACGGCTTCACCTCCTCGGATTGGTTTGGTTGATGTTGTTGTTTTTGGTGAGCAAGTTCGAGATCTCGTTGCATCAAGCGTAATCTTTTGAGAGGAGGCAGGTTCTGATACTGGGCATCCATGGCTTTTTTTCTACTTTAGATCTCTAATCAATAATTAGGGATTGTGTTAATAGTATCGTAGATGGCAGAGATATTATAAAGGGATATCGAAATCATTACTGCCGCCTGTTTTGTTTTGGTTATGGCGTTTTAGTGAAACGATGAGTGGGAAAGAGTACCCGCCACATTTCTGAAACTTTTATTCCCTTTGAAATTTTTTTTTCTCATCAAACCGAAATTAAAATTTAGAAATTTACCCGCCATGGACTATGGAGGTGATTTCCAATGGGCCTAACTTCAGCCATTTTCAGATACTAATGGGCTTGTTTAAAAACACTGTAGGCTTTCATCTTTTTTTCATAATTAGAAAAAACTTTAATACATTGGTTTGCTCAGAATTTTGCTTGTACACCCAAAAATAACACAGCGAAGATTACAAAAGGGAGAGAGAGACTTGCTTTGTTTTAAAATTTATGAGTTGTTGTCGGGAAAATAGACGACTTTTGACAATTTCATCCCTGTCCTTGTCCTTGTTGTGGATAATACTGTTGTTGTTGCTGCTGCTGCGGATCATAACCACCCGCCCAGGCAGTGGGTGCTGCTCCATATGGAGGAGGATAATAGCCTTCCACGCCTCCCTGTGCTTGTGCCTGAACCATCATATGAGCGAATTACTTTTAAATGTGTGTGTGTAGTATGTATGCACCTAAAACTACACGAACATGAGAAATGTGAAGATAGTCGTCATTCAGATTGATATTCTGTCACAGGTTTCATGGATACATCTCCAAACTCCATCTCTACTATTAGCTACTGTAGCTTAGTTCATATCCAACTTTCAAAGTTCAAACTCAAGTATGAACTGTCTAAAGACAGCTATGAAGAATTCAGGCATATTAGTTTCAAGTTTACTATATCCCACGCAATGCTCTTCTTCTTGGTAAAACCTTAAACCAGAGATTCCCACGAAAAAAATTAATAAAAGATGTAACTTACTGGATTCATGGCATAGTTGGCTTGATAAGGATTCACAGCATACCCAGCAGCCTCATGATTACCATATCCACCACCAACATATCCAACTCCACCTGATCAACACACACGCTTTTTATTAACACTGATGCATTAAACCGTAGAGTGCTAGTAGTTATTATTCCTTGCAGATTGTGAATTCAATTAACATTGTCATGATTAATTCATAGTTCTTCAAGTCCACCATACCAGGATTCGCAACAGGACCAGTTGCATGAGCTCTATTCTCCGAGTTAGCAATCTCTGCTCTAAGCTTCTCCAGTTCCCTAGCCATCCCAACTAGCTTCTGCTCCATAACTTTCCCATGCTCATAATTCTCCGCATACCCTTTCTTCTCATAATCAATAGCCGCTCTATCAACAACAACAGAAACCACACATTAACCAAAAAACATAAACAAAGCCAACAACTTTAAAAACCCCAAAACTCCAAACCTAGCGCGTTGGAGCTCCTGCTTAGTATTCTCAATCTCAGCAGTCAAAGTCGGAATCTGCTGCAACTCAGCCGTAAGCCTCCCCAAATCTTGACTCATCAAATGAACCTGACTCGTCAACTCCTGCCTACTCCCACTCAACTCCTTAATATCCCCACGAACCTTCTGAACCTCACTTCTCATCGCATCCACCTGACGAAGCTCAACTTCGCACCGCATCGACTTATCATACATCTCCCTCATCATTATATCTTCCTCAGCTCTCAACGAGTCGATGTAATGCATCATCCTCTGCAGCTCGTGCTGCGCTACTTCTAGCTCCTGTTTGAGCGCCACGTGTGTAGCCGCTAGCTTCTGGTTGTCGGCGAGTAGGCCCTGCACGTCTTGGCTTTGCGCCGCGATTCGGTCTTCGATGATTGAAGGGTGGGGTCGGAATTGGGGTTCCCTGTTGTAGTCATCTAAGGGACGAGGAGGTGGAGGCACGTGTCCTCCTCCTAAGCCTCTGAGGAAAGGCGGTTGGTTGATTGGAGGTTGTAAGCCGCCGTAAGATCCTCCGCGATTTCTTCCTCCGGACATTAGTGATCTGATGAGTTTTGGAGATTGTGAAGCTTTAAGGGGTAAACGGGAGATTTGTCTCGCCGGAGATGATAGATTAGGGTTACGAGCTTCGATTGATTAGGAGAAATCAGATTCTAGTTCGCCGGAAGTGTGTGGATCGAACGAAGGTTGGTTAACAAAATAATATTGTTTCGTAATTATTCCTTTTAGTTTTCGTATTTACAGAATTTGCTTATTATATACCACCGTATTTTACTTTTTTGCCCACCAACTTCGGCTTGTTTCAAATTACTCCTTTTTTTTTTTGGTCAAAACAAATTACTCTTTTATCTTTTGATTTGTGTACCATAGTAGAGATGGTAAAAACGAGTTATGGTAGGTCAGGTCCGCGCAGACTGCTAGTCTGCTATCTCTGTAATAACTGACCAAATTCACTATGTCTAAAATGTAGGTTTTTGTGAATCGGCCTGCAAAACATGAGATTACATACAGATATACGACTTCTAGTGACGACGTGAAGACCAGAACTACTGTCGGAACTCCACTCTTCATCACCGAAGGTTTTACGATTACGTCGGTGAAGAACTGAATCGTCTTTTTATTCTCTCTTTCTCTCTTATTTTTTCAGGTGAAAAGTGAAGTAAAGAAATGATATTGCGAGTCTTTATTTCTTGTATAATCCATTTCAACACATTTCGTTGAAGATCCATCCCGCAAGAACTTGTCTTGTGAATCCAGCAACTATATAGACCTACAATATCAAGGTCCAGTATCATTTCAGTGTAAATCTTTACGAATGAAGTTCGCGGTCCAAGTCCAACATTACCATCTCTAACCATAAATCCAGAGGTTTACCCAAGCAAGAAGTGAGTCATAGTATACAGTTTTTCTACAACAACAAAAATGTTTTTTTTCTTTGGTGAGATAGATATAAATTCGTGTTGCTGTTTTGCACGTTAAATGGAGTTCTTTGGTGACAACAACTTTTGAAAGATTTTCTTTGATAATTGTTTTTCTATGCAAGTCTCTTGGAGTTTCGTGTATAGCAAGTTAAAAAAAAACGCCATGAAAAGTAAGATTTTGAGAGCGCAAAAAAAAAATTACATGTGTTACATAAACATTGTCTCATGTTATGTAGATGCAAATCTTATTCATTTTTTTGTGTGTTTAGATTGCTCGATATACCAAAGAAAAACAATATTACGTAGGAAGAAGCAAAATCTTATGAACAAACAAATAGAATAATATTCTAAAACAAACAGTATATGGACAAATGTTCTTCAAACATACCACCAGAGATTTCCATCACACAAAAAAAAAACGAAACCCTTTCGTGTGGTCTCAGATAATCTTCAGCAAATGAGCCGTACAATCCAAGAAAATAATCTGCCATCTTTCGATCGTGACAGAAGCCGAGAGGATAAACATCTTCACGCCACGAGAAAACGAAAGCTGGTAGATATAGACACAAGGTGCTAGACAATAATAAAAAAAACAACAAAGAATCTTGTATTTATCCACATTCTTGTTTTCTTTTTCCCCACCATAGATTTGCTTTCACACATAAGAAACAATCAATGGCTCTTTTGTTTCTTCCTCTACAGAGTTACTGTGGTAGTAACAGTACAAAGATAGTTGCACAATACCAAGAACCGTTCCTATTCCATTTGGTGTCTGGGTTTCCAAAAAAGAAACAAAAAATATTTGTTATTACTATTTAAGAGAGACAACACAAGTTGCAATGGCACTTACTGATAATAGTTTAACTTACATAAACAAAGGCGTCATTGTTGAATAACCCGTAAAGGAGGAAGGAACCACTCAACAAGAAAGTTGACAGAGAGAGATAAAACGGCATAAACTCAACGCTCTTAGTCCGAATCACTAAGTTCTACAAAAGACCAAGCGAGTTAGTCAATCAAGAAAGCAGAGCACATTAAAACATTTGGTCGACGTTAGTGTGAACTTACAATAACAAACAAAGGAGAGGCAAACATGGAGACAAGAGAAGCGCAGCTCAAGAACCCAACAAAGTACCATCGTGTGAGCTTGTCAGGTATCTGCAAACTTCCAGCTACGATCAACCCAACCACAGCAAACACCACAAGAAGCAAAACAAGCATCCTCATCTGCCATGATCAAGATCTTGATTAGAACAATATAAAAAAAAAAGCGAGTTTAACTAGTTTATTATTTAGTGTGAAGAGTCAATCAAGAAACCTTATTCTTCTTGTCTGTGTACATGATGAAGAGGATAATGTAACAAAGCTGAAAAGTGGCTCCAACGGAGTTCACAGTCACAAGCATGAGGTTTCTTTGTGATATGAAAGGTGAGCCGTACCAGAGGCAGATCAAGCAGTTCAAGAGAGAGTAAATGTATGGTAAACCAGAGAATTGCTCCGTTGATTTGTTCCTCAAGATTCTCCTAAATGTTGGCCTGAAAAAAGAAAACAAAGATCCACAATGAACAAAGACATTAGTGAAAGGAAGGAACGAGATAAGTAAATTGATTATTAAGAAGAAGACGAACTCACATTGGTGAAACGAATAGTCCAAATGCAAATATGTTGCCTGAAACAGAACAAAAATGCAACAGTAATAAGTGATGTAACAGATGTAATAACTAATAAGTATGTAACAGATGCAATCATTAATAACTATAGCATGCAACAATTTGCTTTCTACAGAAGCTTATTTCTTGTTTCCTTCTAGGAAAATGATCAGAAACAACATTTGAATCTTTTTCAGTGCCAAAGAAGAAAAGCATAGACATTAAAAACGTTAAACATATCTCTTGATTTGGGGATATTCATGGCAATAAAGCCAGATCCAATATACATATTCATTAAACTAAAAAGAAATACAAAATATGTGCTTCTATCCTCAAATTAGCTTACCAAAAAAACAATGAACAGAACTAAAAGCAGATTGAAGTTCTTACCTGCGATTCCTGCAACATCTTTCCACATGGAGAAAGAACCATGTAAAGCAAAGACATCCATGAGAAGCTTCTCTGTCAAAATCCCCTTGATTTTTATCCAGAAGATCTAACCTTAAGCTTTTCTTCTTTGCTCTGTTCTGTTCTTACTGAGGCAGGAGTAATGGAGATACTAATAAATAAGTTTTGTAGAGGGAAGAAGAGTTTCTTTAAAGAGCAAGTACTAGAAAAATTGAATGCGTAGGACTATATATATGTATGCGGTCCAGATTTGGTTGTGTACTTTTCTACGGTTTCTACTTTCTACCATCTTGCAATACAAAACTATAAAGTGTCATGAGGGTACATACTTGTTAACACAGTATGAACATGCGCACATAATCTATCGAACATCTCTACCGAATAAATTGATACTTGACTTTGATTCCGCGATACGTTTCGTACGAATTATCATTTATCCGATTGGATCCATAATCATTCAGATATTATGTGTTAAATTTTTTGGATACAAATAATATAAATTCCTTTAAAATAAAATAAAAAATTCAAAATAATAATATTGTATTACAAATAATAATAATAATAATAATAATAATTTTAAATATTTTAATAGCTAATATAATAAACAAAAATAATGTAAAATTTATATAAAACATAATATTTATATGACCCATATATATATACATATTTAAATATATGTATATAACAGATCGATTTGAATACACATTCCTAAAAATATTAATATTTATAATTTGTTTCATTTCTTACGATTATTAATTTTAGTATTTGTTTTGTTTCGTAAAGTTACGAATATTCGTATTTTTCGTTTCAAACTGAAACAAATAACAAATCGAATCAATTAATGGATACTTTTACTAGCCCAAGTGAGACCTGCTTGATCTCATTGATTTTGCTTTAAATATAATCTGTCCTTATTAGAAATAGAATGTAAGGCTAATCAAGTGTTTCAAATCCAAAAGTATCTTCAAAATTACATCATATGCATATTTACTTACTCAACTATGAACACAAGTTAACAATATATATATTTATATTTATTTGTTTGTAGGATTATAAATATATATATATATATATATATATATATATATCTGGTTTCAATCTTTTAAAATATGACTGCTTGGATTAACATTACTTTTTGACATGTGTAAATATTTTCTTTGAATATTTCATTTTCACGAATATTTAGAAATCACTAGACTGCAAGATGTGAAAACGATGTCCAAGGGGCGCTTAAATTAAATGTCTTCTCGATTGAGCTTGAGCTCAAAAAGTTTCTCTCGTCGACAGTGAACCCCACTTGTTTATCTAAGATCATTGTTGTCCAATCAAATTTGTTTCCCAAGTTTGGATTGTGTTTTTGAGAGCTTTTTGAGTGGTTTACATTCGACAATCGAGAATTCTAAAATAAGAAAATAGTAACATTTGCTCGCTCATGTGTTGATGTGTTCTACACTTCTACTAGTGATACATTGCATGTGTGTCTGGCTCTGAATCACTCGATAAAGTCCCGAGAATGACAACTCCAAGGTAATGCTAGACAAAACTTTTTTTTTTTATAACATTTCCGTGCAAAGCCAGATAATACTTCCAAATATATTTATGACTGAAAATACTAAAAAAATAAATCCTCAAGAAACACAAATTATAGGCAATCAAGTTAGAAAGTTCGTTAACATTTGTTTTTACGCTCAGTATTTTATATTTGATTAATCTTAATTTATATTTAGTCGAGGCCACTTAAGACACGAGTGACAGGTTTTAGAACGTGTTTTATGATATCCAAATAATATGATAGGACACATGATATGTTTTATCGTTTAAACTAGCTGTAATTTAGAACATTTAGGTCAATGGCTTCCTTTTTATTATTATTATTTATTGATTTTGTTTATGGTTTGAAAATTTGTGCTTGAACATCTTGACCAAAACTGCTAACATACTTTCGTGGCGAGGATAGATGAATATAAAATATGGACTTCGGATAATGAAGATTAGATCACCAGGAAGATGATTTCTAGGCTTGTACTCAAAGTCTCAAATGCTTATCATACGTATTCTTATGTATTAAATACGATCATTTTAATACTCTTGTTGAATCATGACCTTATCTCTTATAGCCTTTTTTGGTTATACAAGATTTTGATTCTTGACTTTAATAGTCACACAGCCATGGCCCATGGACATAAAAGTGTAAGAGCACAATTATCGGCAGATCTTAAGGTGGATCTTAAGCTAATTTTGAATTTAAAGAAAATAAATAATGACACTTAATGGAAGACTCGGATCTTAAATAAGAGATGAAGATACGGGTCTTGAGTACACGTGTCAAACCAACACCCTTTTTTTTTTTTCTTCTTGTCTCTCTCTCGACCGATTCAATTTCCTCTCCAGAGCTCTCTCTAGTTTGATCTCCTCCACGAAATTGACTCCACCTCTCGACGATTCTTTCCCCATCGTCGGTGTGATCTCCAGACGAATCTCTTTGTGGGTGGCTTCGACGAAATTTCATCATCTCTGTCTCTCGGTTGCTTTTGATCGCGAAGGACAAACGGGTGGATCTCGACGAAGTCTCACTCTGCATGTCTCTCTGGGTAGCTGTTATCGACGGAGACGGCATCTCTCTCACGGTGGCTGAGATCGACTCCGCCTCTCTCTTTCGGTGCTTCCTCTGTCTCGGGTTAGATGGGTTTCTCTTTTTATATCTAAAGTTGATAAATTGATGATCAAGTTAGCTTTTTGAATTGAGTTTTGTTAGATTTTATCTCTTCGAAGCTCAAAAGGACCAGACTTTACTTATAGAAACCCTGTCTTTGTTTGCTTGTACGTTCCTTGAGTTTACTGCATTCCGATCTTTCGTGTAGCTAATGAAGTAGAAGCTAGTTACCCTGAGTTGAACTAATGCAAAAAATCGCCTGAGTTTTTTGCTCTTCTTGAAATTTAAAAAGGATGCTTCTTTCAGGTCGGTTTTATGCGTTTGAGAAGGCACATAGGCTTGATTCAACGTCAAGTGGTCGTGGTGTTCGCCAGTTTAAGACTGTGCTTCTTCAGCGGTTAGAGCGGGTGAATATCTATCATCACTTCCTTTACTCTGCTTGAGCTTTCTGTGTCAAGTTTATTTACCTTTATAATTGTTTTATTTGTGAAGGAGAATGAAACAACTCTTGCCGGAAGGCAGAAGAGTGACGCACGTGAGATGCAAAGTTTCTATCAACACTACTACAAGAAATACATCCAGGCTTTGTTTGCTTGTACGTTCCTCGCGATCATGGAACCTTGTTGCAGTGTCAAGGATAGGTGTGTACTGTATAGCATTAGTCTTTTTCAGCTTGTTCATATGTTTTTCAGTTAGACTTCTAAATTTTTTTGTATTTTAGGATTGGGTACAGTATGGTTACTGATGCTGAGCAAAAAGGATTCATAACACCTGGAAAGGTATCAGATTATTACTGATGGTTTGTGTCTCAAGTAATCTGAAAAGCAATTTGTCGGTTTTGTAGGATAATGTTGTCGTTTGTTAAGTGTTAGGATAATGTCGTTGTGTTTCATATAGTCTAAGTGAAATGTTTCTCTGGTTGTAATTAGGAGAGTAGCTTGAGCTAAAAAAAAAAAAGTTCTTAAGAACCTCTAATTAAGAATCTACCGTTGGAACCATTAAAACGAAAAGTTTCTTAGGAAAAATTCTTAAGCTAAAATAATTATTTAAAAATTAACTAAGATCTTTCTAATGGATCTAGGGTTAAACATGCTCTAACTACGACAAACCATCAATTACGTTTTTGAACTTTTGACCTGATAATTCCATACTTTAAATACTCAATCAAACATATACTTTTTTTTTTGCATTCTAAAACCTAAATATTAATTTGGATTTAAATTTAATTATACATAGTCAGTGTTCATCAAACTATCTTTTGATTTTTTTTTTGTTCTGATAACCGAGGTATCCGATTGATAGTGGTCCACCCGGCTAGTTTCTTAGAAGTTTGTTCCCGGTGCCAAAAATGCCTAAATGTTTGGAAATTAGAGATCTATATCCTGTGACCACGTATGTTTAGTGTCGTAGGGTTATTTCAATTCGAATCACTTAGTTCATAGGAATTCACCAACCATTTGAACGTCGTCAATACGTGGTTTATCTTTTGATATTTCAGGCGTCTCTTGCTGATATTTGATCCTGGTATAAATATAACAACAATATTGAAAACGCCCACTTGTGAATAAAATCATTTTGCATGTATATTTGAACGTTGCAGCCTTGCTGTTTTTCTTTTGGATAGAACCATACGTGTAAAGTCGGATTTTAATCCTTATCAAATAAATCATCAGTTTCCTTTTTTTTCCCCCTAAATGTTGGCAACCAATACAACTAGTTGACTAAGTCATATGCCGCTCATGAACCAAATCAAGCGATCTATATACAAAGCGTCGGACAACTAATCTTTTCTTTAAAATCTAGGGTTACGGAAATATCAGGAGTACTTTTAGTCACCAAATAAATGATTCTTCCTTTGTAACTAATCGAATATATTTGCAATTAGGGATGGACATAAGCCAAATACTTATCATTTTTAGTGTACTTGGTATTTGGCTTAGCTTGTTCGAGTAATAAAAATTTGAATTTGTATTTGGTTTATTAAAAACGAGTACTTACAATTCCAAATACTTGCTAAAAAATAGTATACTTGCAAGTACTTATTCTGTTTTACTACTTGTTGTTTCTAAACTATTTTATAACTTATTATATTATTATTTGTAATAATAGTTTATTAATTTTAGTTACTTAAACCTTGAATATGAATTTAAGAAAAAATTAGTTAGTTATAACTATAATCTAAACTATTTTTAATAAAAAATATTTATTTATTCTTCACATGTTTTAAATCGATATATGATAAATATAAAATTAAAAGAAAACTCTAAAATTATAATATACCACTTTTAATTTATTTATTTTATAAACATGTAATTTGATTATAATTTAGAGATTTTTTTTGTCTAAAAGTAAAAAACGGGTAATAAATCAAGTAATAAGTCACAAGTGTTGATAAAAAAAAGTCACAAGTAACAAGCCAACAACGTCAAGTAGTTATTTTTATTTTAGTACTTGGTACTTGTCTTGTACTTGCAAGTAATTGAAATTAACGACTTGAACAAAATGAGTACTCGACTTTAAGAGCCAAGTACGAATTAAGTAGCGAGTACAAGCCGAATAACAAGTAATTGTACCCACTTTATTTGCAACTGTGAAATATTTATTCGGTGGATTTGACTATATTTAGCAACTCATAATATATTCTTCATCAAACGAATTACTAGTCTCCTATACATTAGATCACTTTTTTTTCCATTTGTAAACTTGTGCTAGTCTAATACTTTAACTACTAGGATAAGATCCGCGCCTTGCGCGGGATGAAGCTATTATTTTTATTATGTTTTTAAAAATGAAACAATAGTTCGGTTTCATTCGGATTAGAGGTGTTCAATCCGGATATCGGGTTTCGGTTCGGCTCGATTTTTTGGTATTTCGATCATTAAAATATAACTACTATTCTAAATCTATATGTACTTCAGTTTGATTTGGTTTATATACCANGTATTTCGATCATTAAAATATAACTACTATTCTAAATCTATATGTACTTCAGTTTGATTTGGTTTATATACCATCGGTTTTCAGTTTATTCAATTTTATACCAAAAAACATAATTATTTAGTTTGAGATCATATTATATATTATACAAATATATAATATGATCATATTTAGAGTCATATTGTCACAGAGTCATTTATTACAAAATATTATATATTTAAATAAAAGAATAAAAAATAAAAAAGACTTTTATCATCTAATAAAATGATCGAATCTAGAATTAATATCAAAACACTAAATTTTGAAAATAAAAATAAAAAAACAAAACAGAAGCATGAAAGAAAAGTTTTTATATTCTTCCATATTTAGTGTTCATCAAACCAATATGTCTTCGATTGAACACAACTCTGTTTGCTTAAAGATAAAAAAAAAGTTGTAAAGAATTTCAACTAATTGTTGTCCATCAAATTTATAATCTTTACTTCAATTTAGTTACTGTTAAAAAAACAATATATCAAAATAAGAAGTCTTAGTTGTAATAAATTGTTAGCTATTTACAAATTATAATTATAGTTCAACTCATGTAACAAATAGATGTTCATACGTCGTTATAAATATATACATATTTACATGTTTCAGTTTAATCGATTATAAATCAAACCATATCCAAATCCTATGGTTTTTATAAAATCACATCCATTCGGTTTGTATGGTATATACCAAAAATAACCATATTATCGATTGTTAATCTATATTATTAAAACTGAAGTACCTTTTAATTCTGTTTGGAAATAAGGATAGTAGGATTAATGAGAATATTTTGGAAACATGGATAGCATATTAAGTATTTTTTCTTATTTTCAAATTTAGCCATTCCATTTACAGTAAATTAAATACCTTCTTTTGTATATTTTTTTATTGATAGATTCTGCCATTACATTTAAAATCAATATAAATTAATTAATTACAATGATTTTTCTTTCTTTTTGGGTGAAAATAAAAACACAAACTGAATATATAGTATATATTATAAAAAATAATTTTTAAATATAGTATTACCTTATTTAATTTAGTGAAATATAAAATTTCAAGAGTTCAATTTTCAAAAAAAAAAAAATCATAAAATTAATGATAATTCATAGAAAACTAATACAAAACCAAATTTTTAGTATGCTATTCCATTTTAAAATAAAATAACAAAAAACAACATGTTAGTATATGAATAGTATAGTTATATCAAATTGCTTCAAGTTATAAAATTTCTAATATAATTTTATGTACAAATAAAAAATTATTATTAAAAATTTATATTATAAAATAATATATTCTATTATATATGTAAATTACAAAACATAAAATTATATAGAATTTTTTATAGAGCCAGTGGTATATGAATTTATGTTGAACATAAGTTAAATCAAACATCCGCACGGGGTGCGGGTCAAGTTCTAATATCTTTTAAAAATATAAAATTAAAAAAAAAGAACTAAGATATTTAAATCATTGATAACAAAAAATTTCAATGTGAAAAATTTAATAAGTTTATAATTTATAAATGTTCTTGAAAATTTATTGAAAATTTTAAATTAAAATATTTATGTAATCTTATATGGTATATAGTTTAATCTGTATATATATATATTTGTTTTATTATTGAATGATACTTTTTACTTATATGGTTTTAAAATCATGTATATCTTTTTATAAAAAATGTTAAACTATTGATCATTAATTTTTAACATAATAATTTTAATAGTTTAGTTATTTATTCTCGTTTCTTAAAATTCAAAATATAACCTATACGAAAAAATCTAAAGTTTAATTTTATAGCTAATTTGATTGTTTAATTTATTTTAATAATATAAAATTAAATAAAAATGATGGAGGATATATAAACTGTTATCAANAATTTTAATAGTTTAGTTATTTATTCTCGTTTCTTAAAATTCAAAATATAACCTATACGAAAAAATCTAAAGTTTAATTTTATAGCTAATTTGATTGTTTAATTTATTTTAATAATATAAAATTAAATAAAAATGATGGAGGATATATAAACTGTTATCAAATATTTATTATTAGAATCATTAAGTGTCATATATATATATATTTGTTATTTATGGTAATTCCGTAGGTTTTATTTATGGAAATAAAATAAAATAGTAATTATATCTTAGGAAACAATCATTAAGTGTCATATATATATACTAGTCATTTATGGTAATTCCGTAGATTTTATTTATGGAAAGAAAATAACATATCATATCATTATATCATATAGTTTGACTAACTAATGTATCTAGCAACCTATAAAAATCTAATGTGGACTTACTTATTTTTCAGTTGAATCTAATTGACTATCTAATTGAATGACACCTATGCATTGAGGCCTCTTTTAATTAATACATAATTGAGGTTACATCTTTTCAAATGTTCTTCAATTAATATATAGCAGAAGTAGAGAAGCAATCAGGTATTAGTTGTCAACTTACGCAAAGCATATTTAATACCATATATGGATATGATTTACTGCCAGCATCACGCAAACGCAACTATCCTTTTCAGAAAAAAAAAACATTACGCAACTATAAGAGGAAATATGTATTGTTACGTAAACATCAATAAATGTATTCTTTATTGTATTGATTTGTAAACGTTAGGGTGCTTCTTACTCACCATTAATCTCAGCGGTAATAAGGGAAATCAATATATACATGTGATGTGGACGAAATTTAAATGGATACAAGCACACGAACAAAAATTGAAGAAAGCTCAACTTCATACGTAATGTGCCATTTGGGCCACAGATAATGATCCTCGACTAAAAAGAAAAAATCTACTTTATATGTCTATCGGTTGATTTAGTTGGTTTCGAAAAGAATGCAATTGGTGCTATATATAATCTGGTTATACTACGTTTCAATATTTCGAATAGATTGTATTTTCTCTCTTTAATCGAATACATGTATGTACATTTTATATTTATAAACAGTAATACGATTTTGATCAGATAGAAATGATGTACTTTTTTTTTTTTTTGGTCAAATAGAAATGATGTATCTTTCTTTTCTTTGTGCCCAGCAATGATGTATCAGTTCTCAATATATACAAATATTTGGGGCAGCGAAAGAGAGTCCAATGCCCATGAACGATAAACTAAGGCCTCGTTTCCGTTGAGATCGAATATCTAAAAGGCCCATTAAGTCTTTTGCGTAACGTTATTTAATTTAGTATCTTGTTTGATTTGTAGTCAAATTCAAAGTTCCGCACAAGTTTCTTTCTTCAAATTATTTTTCTATGGGAAACCGAAACTCAAGCGGACATGTTGAATTTTCACCGGTTGCCTCTATATGTCCGGTAGGTAATTTAGAAAACACAATAAAGAAATTAAAATAACCGTGGCGTAAAAAACGAACCTCTAAAATACTGAACCGTAGTAAGTAATGGCAATTTGGTAATTTGTTATTGGTTCTCCGTAACTGTCTCAAATTAAAAAAAAGAAGAAAGGCTCACAGTGTTTTCTTCTGACGCTCGCTCGTTAGATAGATCCCTTCCCTCTCTTCTTCTTCCTCTTCACTCCCTCATTATATTCCATTCATCTCTCTACACATCTCCAGCTCTTCTTCAAGTTTAGCTTAATCTTCATCGGTACGTACCCCAACTCCCTCTCTTTCCCAGTTCTATACACTCTCCGAGCTAGATTACATGTTTTCATTTTTTTATTTATTTTGTTATTTGGATTCTGTGATCTGTGAGACTTGTTTATTGTTTTTGCAATCGGATCTGCTTCTTAGTCTTGAAAATTCCGCACATTTCTCATACTTATAGATCTGGATCTGCCTTTCTCTAATCTGAATCTCATGAATTTCATTAGAACTAAACCACGTGGCGATAGATCTGAACCACTTGTTCATCTTAGCTTAATCGATTACAAGTAGCAACACTCGCCATCGTGATCTCATTTCCAATGTTACAGATATTAACGAGATCTCATTATTTTTTCTGACGTGGCAGATACTAATAATTAACCAAAAATGGCTACATATAAGCCGAAGAACATCCTCATCACCGGAGCGGCGGGCTTCATCGCCTCCCACGTGGCCAACCGCCTAATCCGCACCTACCCTGACTACAAAATCGTCGTCCTCGACAAACTCGACTACTGCTCCAACCTCAAAAACCTAAACCCTTCCAAATCCTCCCCAAACTTCAAATTCGTCAAGGGAGACATCGCCAGCGCCGACCTCGTCAACTACCTCCTCATCACCGAAAACATCGACACCATCATGCACTTCGCCGCCCAGACTCACGTCGACAACTCCTTCGGCAACTCCTTCGAGTTCACCAAGAACAACATCTACGGCACTCACGTCCTCCTCGAGGCCTGTAAAGTCACTGGCCAGATCAGAAGGTTCATCCACGTGAGTACCGATGAGGTTTACGGAGAGACTGATGAGGACGCTTCCGTTGGGAATCACGAAGCTTCTCAGCTGCTTCCTACTAATCCTTATTCCGCTACTAAGGCTGGCGCTGAGATGCTTGTGATGGCCTATGGGAGATCTTATGGATTGCCTGTTATAACTACGCGTGGGAATAATGTTTATGGACCGAATCAGTTTCCTGAGAAGTTGATTCCTAAGTTTATACTGTTGGCTATGAGTGGGAAGCCGCTTCCGATACACGGAGATGGGTCTAATGTTAGGAGTTATCTTTATTGTGAAGATGTTGCTGAGGCTTTTGAGGTTGTTTTGCATAAAGGGGAGGTTAACCATGTTTATAATATTGGGACGACGAAGGAGAGGAGAGTGATTGATGTGGCTAATGATATTTCGAAGCTATTTGGGATTAACCCTGACTCTACGATTCAGTTTGTTGAGAACCGGCCGTTTAATGACCAGAGGTATTTTTTGGATGACCAGAAGTTGAAGAAATTGGGGTGGGAGGAGCGTACCACTTGGGAGGAAGGGTTGAGGAAGACTATGGAGTGGTACACTGCGAATCCTGAGTGGTGGGGTGATGTTTCTGGAGCTTTGTTGCCTCATCCAAGGATGTTGATGATGCCTGGTGATAGACTTTGTGATAGTGGTGATGAGCGTAAAGATGCTGATGGTAATCAGACGTTCACGGTGGTTACTCCGACCAAGACTGGTGGCTCTGGAGATAATAAAGCGTCGTTGAAGTTTCTTATCTATGGGAAGACTGGGTGGCTTGGTGGTCTTTTAGGAAAATTGTGTGAGAAGCAAGGGATTGTGTATGAGTATGGGAAAGGGAGGTTAGAGGATAGAGCTTCTCTTGTGGCGGATATTCGCAGAGTTAAACCGACTCATGTCTTTAATGCAGCTGGTTTAACGGGGAGACCTAATGTTGACTGGTGTGAGTCTCACAAGACAGAGACTATACGAGTTAACGTTGCTGGTACTTTGACTCTGGCAGATGTTTGCAGAGAGAATGGTCTGTTGATGATGAACTTTGCCACTGGTTGTATATTTGAGTATGACGCTGCACATCCAGAAGGTTCAGGGATTGGGTTTAAGGAAGAAGACAAACCGAATTTCACTGGTTCTTTCTACTCAAAAACAAAGGCAATGGTAATAATAAACTATCACATAACCAAATCAAATTTTGATTCTCAAATCTCTGGAAACTGTTGTCTATAAATTCTCTTGTTATCATTTTTCACCAGGTGGAAGAGCTTCTAAGAGAATTTGACAACGTATGCACCTTGAGAGTGCGTATGCCAATCTCATCCGACTTGAACAACCCACGAAACTTCATCACCAAGATCTCTCGTTACAACAAAGTGGTGAACATCCCAAACAGCATGACCATACTAGACGAACTCTTACCAATCTCCATCGAGATGGCGAAGAGGAACCTGAAGGGAATATGGAACTTCACCAATCCAGGAGTGGTGAGCCACAACGAGATACTAGAGATGTACAAGAGCTACATCGAGCCGGGTTTCAAGTGGTCCAACTTCACTTTGGAAGAACAGGCTAAGGTCATTGTGGCACCACGGAGCAACAACGAGATGTGTGGTGCCAAGCTCAGCAAGGAGTTTCCAGAGTTGCTTTCCATCAAAGATTCGTTGATCAAATACGTCTTCGAACCAAACAAGAGAACGTAAAAAGTCTCGGTAACACTACACTTTCCTCTTTCTCTCTGTTCATTGTTATATTATCTTGCAGGTAGTTTCACTGTATTGATTCTACTATAATTTGATTTGATTTATCATGTAATTCTTTACTTTTTTTTGGTACTCTACGAAACACATGTTTGTTTACATTAATATTATTACAGAGTTATTTTTACTATCATTATAGATTCCTATTCCTATTGTGATTCTTTTTTGTTTTCATGTCAAGATACAGAAAAAGAAGAAATAATATTGACTGCTGTAACTAGTTTCCGTTTGTGTTTAAAACTTGAAGTTTGTTACAAGAACAATGCCTCTCTGCCTCTCATTAGTTAATCTTTCTAATGCATATATAGAAATTGCAAACGCAAAATGTACTTATAAACTAAAAACCTCCGTACTTCCTGTCTCCTAATCTTCAACATACGACCATATAAAAACATTTTGCTTCCTCTTCAACACCTTTGACCTACGAGAAATTTCCCATAATCTTGTTCACCCTACAACGATGCACACCGAATGGAGGTTCTTATAAACGAAGAACAAGAGATCGAAGAAAAGGAGTCCATGAAGTGTACCTTCTGTTTTCTGTGTTGAGATAAGCTTGAATAAAAGAGAAACTTGAGAGAGAAGATAGAGACCTAATCCTACCGAGTGATGGAGATAAATACATAATATAATTAGGAGTTATCTAAAGTTATGTTTATCTACTAGGATTAGGATTTATAACATCTATATATTAAGGTGTCGAGTTGTGACACAAGATATAGAAGTTTTAAGAGTTTGAGAGCTTGAGGTTTTGTGCTAGTTTCCTTGAGTTTAATAAGAAGAGTTAATTTCTTATTTGCAGTCTTGAGTTCTATATTTGGTATCAGAGCTTCCAGATTATCATGGGGGATCTAGCGGTTGCAGCAGTAACGAAATCAAAGGATGGAGAAGTCTCCAAGATCAAGTGTCCGATGTTGAATTCTTCTAATTATACCGTGTGGGAGATTCGCATGAAGATAATACTAAAAATCAACAAGGTTTGGGATATCATTGAGACACCAGCAGAGGATGAAATCGACAAAAACAACTTGGCGATAGGGTTGTTGTTTCAAGCGATACCGGAATCAATGATACTACAGGTTGGAGGTTTAGACACGGCAAAGAAGGTTTGGGATGCCATTAAAACGAGACATGTAGGAGCGGAGCGTGTGAAAGAAGCAAGGTTGCAGACGTTAATGGAGGATTTTGATCGTCTCAAGATGAAAGACACCGAGAAGATCGATGATTTTTCAAATAAGATGTCTGAAATAGCTTCAAAGGCTGCCGCGCTAGGAGAAGAGATTGAGGAAACAAAACTTGTTAAGAAGTTTCTGAAATCTTTGCCTCGTAGAAAGTTCATTCACATGGTAGCGTCGCTTGAGCAGGTACTTGACCTCAAAACCACAAAGTTTGAGGACATCGTCGGGCGTCTTAAGGCCTACGAAGAGAGGATTAGCGAGGAAGAGGATCAAGACGATCAGAGCAAATTGATGTACACTAATGCGGAGACTCCACATTCTCGTGAGTATCAAGACGAAAACAGAGGATACAGAGGAAGAGGTGGAAGGTTCGCACGAGGACGAGGTCGTGGGAGAAACAACGGAGGACGAGACAAAGATCTTTCTCGTATTACCTGTTTTCGATGCGATAAAACAGGGCATTATGCTTACTCATGCCCTGATCGTTTGTTGAAGCTACAGGAAACGCAAGAAGGTGATAAGGAGGATACTCAGAATGCCGACGAGCTCATGATGAATATGATAAGTGAAGTCATCAACGAGCTCATGATGAATGAAATCGTCTATTTGAATGAAGAAAAGGTGATGCCAAATAAATATGAGGCAAACACACGAGAGAATGACTTGTGGTACTTAGACAATGGAGCTTCAAATCACATGACTGGTGATAGGAGATACTTCTCGACGATTAATGAATCGGTTACAGGAAAAGTGAGGTTTGGAGACGACTCCCGCATAGATATCAAAGGAAAGGGTGTGATTGAGTTCATAGATCAAAACGGTAACTCGAGAACTATGAATGAAGTCTATTTCATTCCAGAGTTAAAAAGCAATATCATTAGTCTTGGTCAAGCAACTGAAGCAGGGTGTGATGTTGTCTTAAGAGGAGAGAAGCTCACTATGCATGATCGAGAGGGCAAGTTACTGGTGGAGGCTGTACGATCAAAGAACAGGTTATATAAGGTTCGTATGGGAATAAGGGAGCCATTGTATCTATTCACTACGGTGGTTGACGAATCAAGCAAGTGGCACGCGAGACTCTGCCATGTCAATCTCGAGTCTATAAAATCTATGATTAAGAGGGAGCTTGTAACTGGGATACCACAAATCTCTGTTGAGAAAAAGGTGTGTGGTTCGTGTCTACTTGGAAAACAAGCCAGACAAGTATTTCCACAAGCAACTTCTTACCGAGCTAGCAAGCCACTCGAGTTGATACATGGAGATCTTTGTGGTCCGATTTCACCTACTACGAAGTCTGGATATAGGTATATCTTTGTGCTTATAGACGACTATTCCAGATATATGTGGACCATACTGCTCAAGGAGAAAAGCGAGGCTTTCGAGAAATTCAAAAGCTTTAAGAAGCTTGTGGAGCAAGAAAACTCGGCAGAGATAAAGATGTACAGAACAGACAGAGGAGGAGAGTTCGTATCTCATGAGTTCAACACGTTCTGTCAAGAAAATGGCATTAGAAGACATCTCACGGCTCCCTATACGCCTCAACAAAACGGAGTTGTTGAGCGAAGGAATCGAACATTGATGGAGATGACTCGGAGTATACTAAAACATATGTTGGTTCCGAATTATCTTTGGGCAGAGGCAACAAGACATTCTACTTATGTTCTGAACAGAGTCGCTACCAGAGCCTTGAAGGATCGAACTCCCTACGAGATGTTGAGAAATAAGAAGCCAAACATGAGTCATCTGAGAATATTTGGCTGTATTGGATATGCTAAGACGGTGAAACCTCATCTGAAGAAGCTGGAAGATCGATCAAGCATGTTAGTACATCTCGGTACGGAACCAGGCTCTAAGGCGTATCGTATGTTTGATCCAAGAACACAAAAAATTGTGGTCAGTCGTGATGTGGTTTTTGATGAGACAAAGGGTTGGAATTGGAGTCAAGACGCTACAGAAAGGAGTGAGGCAGGAAGTTTTACAATTGGGAATCTTGATATTCCTACGGTAACAGAAGAGGCTCCACGGTTAGAAGATGGAACCAGAGTAGTGGAGATTAGTGACGATGAGAGTGAGAAAGAAGAAACATGTGAAGAGGACGAGGAAGAGAGTCCTCCTTTAAGGAGATCAACAAGGCAAATCTCATTGCCTAAGTACCTTGATGATTACGTTTTGTTCGCAGAAGAGGAAGGAGAGTACTTGCTGATGAGCATTAACAATGAACCAAGAGACTATTATGAGGCAGAGCATTCTGAAGAGTGGAGAAAGGCGTGTGAAGATGAGATTAATTCCATTGTAAAGAATGGTACGTGGACTCTGGTTGACCTTCCTAGTGGTGCTAAGGCAATCGGGTTAAAATGGGTTTTCAAGTTGAAAAGAAACTCCGATGGCAGCATCAATAAGCATAAGGCTCGACTCGTAGCCAAAGGCTATGTGCAGAGGTATGGAGTAGACTTCGAAGAAGTGTTTGCTCCTGTTGCTCGAATAGAGACGATACGGTTACTGATAAATGTTGCAGCATCTAGAGGTTGGGAGATACATCATCTTGACGTGAAAACGGCATTTTTGCATGGAGACCTAAAGGAGAGAGTATATGTCACACAGCCAGACGGTTACGTAGTAAAAGGCTCTGAGACAAAAGTGTACAAACTCAACAAGGCGCTTTACGGTTTGCGACAAGCACCTCGTGCGTGGAACGATAAGCTAAATGGTATCCTCAAGGAGTTTGGTTTCAGGCGTTGCAAAAAGGAGCCTTCAGTTTATGTGAAGAAGACAAGTGCAAGTCTCTTACTTGTTGCTGTCTATGTGGACGATCTATTTGTGACTGGTACGAGTGTGGAGCTTATTGTTAACTTCAAAGCAGAGATGGCGTCAAAATTTGAAATGAGTGATCTAGGACGCTTGACCTATTATCTAGGAATTGAGGTGATACAGCATGATGATGGTATAATCTTGAATCAGAGGAACTACGCTTTGAGGATTCTCGAAGAATCAGGAATGAGGGAGTGTAACCCAGTGCATACGCCAATGGACTCTAACCTGAAGTTGTCTCGAGCTGATGAAGAAGAAGACGTTGATGCTACTAGTTACAGAAGGAATGTTGGTTGTCTCAGGTATCTGTTACACACGAGACCGGATTTGTCTTATTGTGTAGGTGTTCTAAGCCGCTATATGCAACGGCCTAAAGCGTCGCATGGAGCAGCTATGAAGCAGTGCTTACGGTACCTCAGAGGAACGACAACACTCGGTCTTACATTCACAAGGTCAAAGGCAGCTCACTTGGTTGGTTACAGTGACAGTAGTCACAATGTTGATCCAGATGACGGCAGGAGCACCACGGGACATGTTTTCTATTTAGGCGAAAGTCCTATAACCTGGTGTTCACAGAAGCAAGATACGGTGGCATTGTCTTCTTGCGAGGCAGAGTTTATGGCAGGGACGGAGGCAGCTAGACAAGCTATCTGGTTGAGTGATTTACTTGGCGAGATAGATGAGACATTGTGCGAGAAAGTGGTCATAAAGATAGACAATCAATCAGCTATAGCCTTGACGAAGAACCCAGTGTTCCACGGTCGCAGTAAGCACATACATACTCGATACCACTTCATCAGAGAGTGTGTAGAAGCCGGCTGGATTGAAGTTGAACATGTACCGGGCAATCAACAAAGGGCTGACATATTAACCAAAGCACTTGGGAGAATTAAGTTCAAGGAAATGAGAAGTCTTATTGGAGTTCAAGAGTTAGAAGAGATCGAGTTCAAGCTTAGAGGGGAGATTGTTGAGATAAGCTTGAATAAAAGAGAAACTTGAGAGAGAAGATAGAGACCTAATCCTACCGAGTGATGGAGATAAATACATAATATAATTAGGAGTTATCTAAAGTTATGTTTATCTACTAGGATTATGATTTATAACATCTATATATTAAGGTGTCGAGTTGTGACACAAGATATAGAAGTTTTAAGAGTTTGAGAGCTTGAGGTTTTGTGCTAGTTTCCTTGAGTTTAATAAGAAGAGTTAATTTCTTATTTGCAGTCTTGAGTTCTATATTCTGTGGACAACCAATCATGTGCAACAGAACAGAGCTTGTCTAATATCAGGGTTCAAACAACTCTTACTCTCATCAATGTCACGTGCCATTCATTATAGAGGATAGGAATGATATCTCGTTTTATGGACCCGAACTTTAATGGTTCGGTTAACCGAAGATACAAATATGTGGCAAACCGATCCGGTTCTAAATCCGAACCGGTTATATCATAAAGTAATGGCTTCTGAAGAAAGAAGACTTGCGTATGATTATTGTCAACGAAGAGGGACAAAGATTTAATCTTTTAAGGAGGCCTATCATCATCATCAATTAGCCAAGTGTATTGGTAACTGGTAAGGTCAATCTGTGTGCTTCATTCAAAGCTCTGCTCTGTTTCTTCCCTGTTTTCAATCGTAGGTTAAAGTTCAAACCTTTTTCCCACTGTTTCCACAGAGAAAAAACCGTGTTTTGATTCCGCATGAGGAATTTGATTTGAAACAATCATGTCGGTGGAGAGATCTTTCGAAGCTTGGGAAGAGGTTCAGAGACAAGGCCTAGATTTAGCTGATCGACTCGCTCAAGGCTTCACGGGTTTGATTCAGATAAACCCACCTACCTTTCCATGGCCTCATCATCAAAAGGCGAAACCTTTCGATCTCGAGTTCCCTAGTCAACTTCTCAATGTTATTGGAGATTCTACTGGACATTTCGATGCTATTAGAGATTATAGTTTCGGTATTATCAACCAACCCATCAACGGTGTTGCAGCTGTTCTCGATGTTGGGAATAAGATTGGTCAAGCTGGTCTTGATTTCGGTTCTGGCTTGAACCTCATGGTCCAACAGTTCTTTAGGAGGTTGCCTATACCTTTCTTGCACGATGATAGCAAGCTTGGTGGTATCTCTGTGGAGAGTGGTGAGAGTATAAGGAGTAATAGGGCTTATGTGGATACAAAAGATGATTTGGGATTAGCTGCAGAACGGTTGAAAGACTCAGGTTTTTCTAAGACCGATGATTCTGTTACTATGTCTGAGGAGGAAGTTGCAGATTCTTATTTAAGAACCGGTGGTTTCCTTGGAAGATCAAAGGTACTTGTTTTAGTGGGGTTTAGGAGTCTTCTTTGTTCTTTTTAGTAATGTTCTGTGATGTTACTTCAAGAGTTAAATGTGTTGTTTTGAAATGTTTTGTGATCTAGTAACTTTAGATTTCTCTCGGTGAATGTAGGGGAAGATTGATATATCATCAAGTTATGATAGTAGAACAAACGGTATGGAACATTCATTAGCAGCCAGGGGAGACTTATGGAGACTAGAAGCTTCGAGTTCGAGTTCTACTGCAAGTGATGGGACTTCGTCTCTCTTTCTTCTCCAGCTTGGACCGATTCTTTTCCTACGAGATTCAACTCTTCTTTTACCCTTACACTTATCAAAACAACACTTGCTCTGGTATGGATATGATAGGAAGGTATATGCTTAACCGAACTTCACACGCTTCACTAAGAGTTCTCTCTTTTCGAATTGGATCCCAAAACTCACCAAGTTGTGCTTAATTTTCGTTCCAGAAAGGTATGCATTCACTCTGCCCAGCTGTATGGTCAAAGCATCGAAGATGGCTTATGATGTCAATGCTATGTCTCAACCCTGTATCTTGCGTAAGCCACTTTGTTCCTTAGAGGTGTGGTTATGTTCTTACTTTTAGCAGAACCGAGTTCATGAACTTGTTGCCTTTGGACAGTCCTTTATGGATTTGCAGTTCCCAAACGGGCAGTTGACATATGTATCTGGCGAGGGGCTGACAGTAAGTACCTTTGTACCGTTCTGTGGAGGTCTTCTTCAAGCACAGGGTCAATATCCAGGGGATATGAGATTTAGTTACTCTTGTAAGGTTAGTATATAGATCATAACTCATCAAGATCCTTGTGGAGCTTATTCTCATTCTTTTAACTTCTCTGTTCGTTGAACAGAACAAACGTGGAACTAGAATCACACCAATGGTTCATTTGCCTGATAAATCATTCGCATTGGAAGTTTCTCAAGGCTTGGCATGGCGTAGATCTGGACTATTGATGAAACCAACACTTCAACTCAGGTAAAACTTCTTCTTATAAAACCAAAAAAAGGAATCTCTTCTTAAAAAAACTCATGAACTGGAGCAGTGTATGTCCCACGTTTGGTGGAAGCAACCCGGGGATGAAAGCGGAAGTGATACACTCGCTGAGTGATGACTTGAACTTGATATATGGCTACGCACTCAACGCACATCCTTCAGCTTTTGCCTCTGTATCTGTAAGCAAAACTTGTCTTCTTGTTGTTATCTGAAGTCAAAGCCTGAACCGTTTTTGTCTCCTTCACGACCCTAATGTAGCTACTTTGTGCGTTATGTAATGGAAACTGCAGTTTGGTCGGTCGAAATGGAATGGTAATAACGGACGCACGGGGATAGTTGTCAGTGCTGATACTCCACTTGCAGAAAGTATTGGCCAGCCTTCTTTCTCTATCCAGCTTAATAACTCTTTTGAGTTCTGAATCTCTTGTCTTGTTTACATATACTAAGGCAGGGTTTATTCCCATGTACATATGTGTGAAAACACTGCTTTTGCCACATTTTCGTGTACATATGTGTGTGAAACAAATTAGTTAACCCACGAGTTAGTGTCCTTTAACTCCCAAGAAATAAAAAAATTAAGAAGATAAAAAAAAGCAGCAAAAATTATCACCTTTTTTTATCAACATATATAAAAATTAGAACGATAATTAGTAGCTAAATGAATGGTTCAAAATCTGCATAAACAAATATATAGCGAGTAGATATGAATGTAAAATTTGTCACGTTAGAAAAGACAGGTCAATCTTGTCGGGTGTTCTATCAGTCTCGACTCTCTTTGACTTGTCTTCGAGATTTACTATACGATCAAAAGATCAATTATAATTTTCAGAGATGAGAAGAAAACGTGCCACAATGTTACTAACTAACATGATAGTATTATACTATATCATATCATAGCATTGCATAATTTTCAAAAATATAGTCAAATAATTCAAATTTCAAAAGTAGATAGGAGTACAAAATAGATAAGCGAAGCTATTATGGTAACTTTCATAATATTCTATGTCATGCATGGTATGAGAATGCCGACCAGTGGTTAGGGGAATTGATATTTCAAAATAATCATATAATCTTACGCATTTCACCATTGACTAATAACCAAAACAATTACGTGAATGTTCGACGTAAAGTTGAGAAAGGTCCCATGCATTTGTTGGAAAATGGAACTGATATAATGGGAGAACTTTGGTTCACATATTTCATTTTGGGATAATCACAACACTAGTCAATGGTCACGAGTAGACGCACGGCCTATATATCAGGGACGAAGTCACTTGCACATTACACGAAAGGGGTCAGCTGACCTTACCAAAAGTATAAAAACTTAATTGAGTATTAAATATATTTTTAAATGACTTCCTAAAACTGAAACAACGTTGTCTTATAAGACATGAAAATATAGGAAATTGAAGTAATTTGGACGAAGGAGGTTAATTAAGACGTCTGCTGGAATTAAAAGAAATAATATCTGCCGACAAATAACAACTACAGAGCTAGAAGCAAAGCAATGAATTATTTTAGTGCATGGGGTCCTTTTGTTTCTCTGAATCTGGCCCAGTTTTGCTTATTTTTATATGCAACTAGCAATCCTCTCCAATCAAATGATAATAATGTTGACTTATGATATTGTATTCTCCCTCTCTCTTTCTCAAATGTCTTTGTAAGTCTTTCTTCGAGTCTTCTCAATTCGTCGTCACTCGTCACATACATAAACGTTTCCTATACTACTCCACTCTCATTGCATCTTCTCTTCTCTTCTCTCACACAAAAAATAATAATAATAAACAGTCTAAAAAAAGAAGAAGAAAATGTCGCTAACTCGACTTATCTTCATGTACGTACTCGTTCCCCTCATTCTCTCCGGCGTCGTTTATTCTCAAAAGTTAGCCAGAGATGAAGGTACGTATACATATATTAATGTGTGTGTACGTTATGTACATATCACTCTTCAGTGTATATATAATGATGTTACTTTTATGTGTCGCAGTGGCCGTTTTAAGAGCCGTGGCGAAGGTGTTACAGCAGAAGAAGTGGAATTTTAGTGTGGATCCATGCGACGTCGCTTCAACCGTAGGAGGTTGGAGAAATCCTAACGCTGCCAAGGGCTTCGAAGACGCCGTTACTTGTAACTGCTCCTCTACAATGTGTCACGTCACCAGCATGTTCGTTCCCCTCTCTATAAATTATCCAAAATTTTGAATTACCCAAAAAAAAAAAATTTATTTTTTTATCTAAAATTATTTGGAATATTTAATATTTTGTTCTTATAACTAATATTATTTTTTTGAATAACTCGAATTAGCAGATATTTAATATGAATTACTCAATATTATTCAACAAAACTAAATCGAAAAAACTGGATCCAATGTTTTTTTTTATATTATTCAGTTTCAAATCTTACTCGAACCAAACAAAAAAAAGAAGATTCGAATTGAATTCCACATATACCTGAATGATTTGTAAATCATATCTAGAAAAAAACTAATTAAAAAAACAAAAACAAACTGAAAACCGAATTCTGAGCCAATTAAAATAGTTAATTAATAATTTTAAAATGAGTGATTGCACTCATTTTATTTTATAAAGTAGGTTAGATGCCCTTGACAAAATATTTATATGCATGAAAGTAGACAAGATACAAAGCAATCCCTGAGTGACCTGACCTTTTCTGACGTACCGAGAAACTAATTAATTTTAGAGGGTTATTTAGCTTTCATGGTGAATGGTATTTTGAAAGCTCTTCTTTCGTTTTCCACTAAAATCTTGGACAGAGTTCTCAAGGCACAAAACCTTAATGGATCTCTTCCTAAAGAGTTTGCAGGACTTCCTTTTCTGCAGGAGATGTAAGAAGCCAATTAGCCCTCGAGCACTCCCTTTATTACAATATCTGCAACCACCAGTGTCTTTCATTAACTAACTTAACTGTCACTCTTCTCTCTCTCTCTTTGCAGTGAACTGTCTAGAAACTATCTCAATGGTTCAATTCCTCCTGAATGGGGAGTCTTGCCGCTTGTAAACGTGTATGTGTATTTGCCTAGCTTTGTTCATATACACTTTACATCTGTGTATGAATGTGTTGATTAATTTGTTGGATGATGAAATGCAGTTCAGTACTTGGAAACCGGATAAGTGGTCCAATCCCAAAAGAGATTGGAAACATTACTACCCTTACTAGCCTGTGAGTACACTTCCTTGGTCCCCATATCTCTCTAGAAATCTAATTTTTCGGATAATTCAGGTTTTTTTGTTTTGTTTTGTTTAGTATCTTGGAACTTAACCAGATTTCAGGGAAATTACCTCAAGAACTGGGGAATCTACCAAACATTCAAAGGATGTGAGATTCATTGTTCATGTTCTTCCAAAATATACACAAGATGCAAATAATTTACTAGTGTTAAGGCTTGTTTACCATTTGTAGCTTACTCAGCTCGAACTATTTGAGTGGAGACATCCCAAGTACATTCTCCAAACTTACAACATTGATTGATTTGTAAGTACTCCTCATATTTTCTTCTATTCTGTTATGCATGTTTTGTTGTAGATTCTGACTATATATATTCTTTTGATTTGTAGACGTATAAGTGACAACCAATTCACCGGTACTATACCAGATTTCATCCAGAACTGGACAAACCTTGAAAAACTGTAAGCAATTCTTCCAACTTAATCAGCTTCTGTCATTTCTCATATCGGGTATGGGTGAGTTATAAAAGAGTAAACTGTTGTTTTGTTGCATGCTACAGAGTTATTCAAGCAAGTGGTTTAGTTGGACCGATTCCTAATACCATTAGTACTCTCAAGAAGTTAACAAACTTGTAAGTATATCAACTTTGTGTATGTGATTGTTTTCACCTTTAGTGGACTCACCATCAATGAAAATTATTGTTTTTTTTTCCATTTATTTTTGGTAGGAGAATCAGTGAATTGAGCGGACCAGGATCTCCATTTCCGCCACTACAAAACATGACATCTATGAAGACATTGTGAGTTTGAGTCTAAGACTAAACGAAGTTAGTAATAGTTTCTTCCCACCTTCATTGAGCTTAACTTCTAAATCACTATGTTGTTTGGTTGCAGGATTCTTAGAAACTGTAATCTTACAGGAGAGTTACCTGCGTATCTTGGACAAATCACATCTTTAAGACTCTTGTAAGTAAACTCTTTTCTTCTTTAGCCAGCGTATAATATGAATAGAATCCAAGCTGACATCGTGAGACTTCTTTTGCAGAGATCTTAGTTTTAATAAACTAAGTGGACCAATTCCAGTAACATATAGCACTCTTTCGCGAGTTAACATGTATGATTATCTGATCTGCTTGTTTTGTTAAAATCCATCAATGGATGAAAGTTAAATGCGTCAAACTTATTAATCTTTCAGATTTCTTACAAGTAACATGTTAAGTGGGGAAGTTCCAAGTTGGATGGTAGACAATGGAGACAAGATGTAAGTTCTCTACAACGATAAATATACAACACAACTTTTCGTAGTGACACACCCCAATAACATTTTTTGGGTATTTATATTGCAGTGATCTTATTTACAATAACTTTACCAACGATATAAGAACCGCAGAATGTCAGAAGAAGGCTGTGTAAGACCAACAATAAAAATTCAAACATTTTGTGCTTTGAAAAGACTCTAAAACTAAGACTCAAACATTCACAGGAATATGTTTTCAAGCACAAACCCTTTAGTGGCAAATAGCTAGTAAGTCTTTTTTTTTCTTCTCATAAAGTTTGAAAACCTTCTCTTTAAACTAACTAGATTATTGATATTAAGTTGTTATGTTTTACTACAGCTCAAACGTTTCTTGTCTGAGTAGATATACATGTCCCAAAAGTAAGTATTTGAAGCTATATATACTTTACAAAACCATATCGCTAAAAATCTAGCAGCGCATCTGATTAATCTTTTATTATTCTTAGCTTTCTATGGCCTTCATATAAACTGTGGTGGTACTGAACTTATAATCAATGGGACTAAGTATGATGCTGATTCATCGGATAGACCAATCTTCTATGACAGTAGAAACGGTTGGGTTTCTAGCAACACCGGGAAGTTCTTGGATGATGAGAGGTCTCCCAAAGGAGTAACATTCTGCACAAATACGTCAGAGATTAAGTTTGCAAATCCTAGTCTTTATACGCATGCCCGTCTCTCTGCCATTTCCATTACTTACTATGCATTGTGTCTTGGACAAGGAAGTTACACTGTTAATCTTCACTTCGCTGAAATTATGTTCAGTGACAAGGAAACGTATAGCAGTTTGGGGAGACGATTCTTTGACATATATGTTCAGGTAATTTACTTATATCTCAAAAAATGTTTGAAAAGATTGTGTTGAATCAATCATGAAAAAAAACAAAAACACTTGGAGACAAAACATAACTGAGGCAAATACATATGTTTAGGATTTGTATATTGATTACGTGAATAAATCATTTACAATCAATTAAGTCCATATTTATGTTACCTCAGAATTTGATATACCTTTTCTATTAATACTTTTCCTAATTGTAAAAGGCATATATAAACTTATAGACATACTTTGATCCGTTCAACTAATGTGGCATTTTACTTTACTAGTGCACTGAAATTTAAATCATTTCCAAAATCAACAAATTGTAATGTTTAAATTAGTTTTCGATGTGGTAATGTGCAGGGAAAACTTGAGGTTAAAGATTTCAATATAGTAGATGAGGAAAAAGGTGATGGAAGAGCTGTGGTTAAGAGTTTCCCGGTCATGATTACAGATGGTAAACTGGAGATAAGATTGTTCTGGGCTGGTAAAGGAACTCAAGCTACTCCTGTAAGAGGTGTATATGGTGCTCTCATATCGGCTGTATCTGTAGATCCAAGTAAACTTTGCTAAACTTGAAACTATCTGATAGAGAGATCACATTCATTTGAGTGTTTTTTTTTGTTGACTTTATCTTTAATGATATTACTGTAGATTTCGTTCCACCAAAGGAAGATAGCACTGGAAGTGGTGGTGGAAGCTCTATTGTCACGTTGGTTGTTGCTGTAGTTGCTTTGACGGTGTTATTTTTGGTTTTAATCGGCAGTATTTTATGGTGGAGAGGTTGCTTAAAACCCAAGAGTCAAATGGAAAAAGGTAATTATCAAAATTAATTGATTTTGAGTTTTTTTTTTTGGACAACAAATTGATTTTGAGTTAAAATTATTTGTTTCTTCCCATACTTTACATTGTTTCTTCTTCACATTCAGATTTCAAGAACTTGGATATCCAGATAAGTTCATTCTCATTGAGGCAAATCAAAGTTGCTACAAACAACTTTGATCCAGCAAACAAGATTGGAGAAGGTGGCTTCGGTCCTGTACACAAGGTGAGCATCATAATGTAGTTGACATTCCTATGAGAAAAAGAGAATGATGAAATATAGTTGTCTAAAGGTTAATTTGTCTATTTGTATTAATGCAGGGAACGTTGACAGATGGAACTGTAATTGCGGTGAAGCAGCTATCATCGAAATCAAAACAAGGGAACAGAGAGTTCTTGAACGAGATTGGTATGATTTCAGCTCTACAACATCCACATTTGGTTAAACTGTACGGATGTTGCGTAGATGGTGACCAGCTTTTGCTAGTTTACGAGTACTTAGAAAACAACAGTCTCGCTCGAGCACTTTTTGGTTAGTCCATCCTCTCTGAATAAAGCTTTAGCTTAAAACATTATGTATCCAACGTTATATATCTCATTCTAAAGGTCCTCAAGAGACTCAAATAAGACTAGATTGGCCAACGAGGCAGAAGATCTGCGTTGGAATAGCTAGAGGACTAGCTTATCTTCATGAGGAATCAAGACTCAAAATCGTACACAGAGACATCAAAGCTACTAATGTCTTGCTGGACAAGGAACTAAATCCAAAAATTTCCGATTTCGGTCTTGCTAAACTTGATGAAGAAGAAAACACACACATCAGCACACGAATCGCAGGAACATAGTGAGTCTGACAATCACAAACAATAAGTTTTAGATTATTATTATTTTTAAAAATCTTTGCTTAGATTTCTCATAAGTTGTAAAAAAAAAACTTGTTTATGCAGCGGATACATGGCTCCGGAATACGCCATGAGAGGTCATTTGACAGATAAAGCAGATGTCTACAGCTTCGGTGTCGTTGCTTTAGAAATCGTGCACGGAAGAAGCAACACGATCACACGTCTCAAAGTCGAGACCTTCAACCTTCTTGACTGGGTAAATTATTATCTTTTATTTTGCAAGAATGTTAAATTATTCATATAAAAAAAAACTTTTTACAACAAGCGTGAGTTATTATCTTTTCACCTTTAAACCCTAAACACATTTTTCAACAAAAACCACTAACTCTGAATCTCAATATTTTTCCGAAGGTACACGTTTTAAAAGAGCAAAACAAACTGATGGAAGCAGTAGACCCGAGGCTTGGAACAGATTACAACAAAGAAGAAGCAATGACGATGATCCATATAGGGATCCTCTGCACCAGTCAATTTCCGTCGGAAAGACCGTCGATGTCTAAGGTGGTGAGCATGCTCGAAGGAAGTTCCACGGTGGATGTTGAGAGGCTTCTTGAAGCTTCGTTAAGTAGAGGAAACGAGAAAGATGAAGAGAGCATGAGGGCGATGAAGAAGCATTACGCGATGACAGATGAGACTATCAGCAGCGATGGACCATTCACTTCTTCTTCTACGTCTACCGCCAACGCCAACGATCTTTATCCTCTTAAGCTTGATGCTGCTTATTGGAACTCTAGAGTTTAGTTTTTTTTTTTACCAACTAATTTATTTAAATAAAATATAAAGTTACAATAAGAGTATAGCAGATTATAGAATTACAACTAAATGTAAAACTAAGATTAAAAAACATTACACCACAAAGGTTACATGAAGAAACTTTTTTGGGAATCATCTTGCTTCTATTTGTGTATTGTGTAGCACCATCTACATTTGGCTATCATCTTTTTGAGAAAATTTCAAATTCTTATTTGTAGATTTCTTTGTTGTATAATATTAGCCAGATTCCAAATATGATCTATAAATATTCTCCTAGAAAAAAATTCAATCTATTGATTCTCTAAAAAAAAAAGTAAATGAAACTGCAAATTTCAAACTATTCTAAAAACACCACTATACAACAATTATCTCAACTGAAGAACCATCAATTAATATCTTGAATTATAATTTCAAAATTGTTAAATACCTTTGTAATTGCATCACTTCCATACCCATGATGATGACACACCATAGTAGTTTCTATGGTATTTGTTTCCAAAGTAAAGTGGTTAGAATGAGTTTTTTTTACCACTTGATCTTTTATTCAACAAAATTAGGTTGAGTTTCTTGTCATTGATCATAGTCACAAAAACTATGTCAGATTGCAATGGCGAATTGAGAAAGAGAAAAATTACCAGACAATCCACCGTAGATCAAACTCCTCTCAACAAAAGAGAAGAACAGAAAATAGAAAAACATCTAAAGACTGATTGTGACTTGATCAGATTAGAATTTGAGTGATGGAGAACTTAAGCGAAACGCCATTGCGTCGCGAGAGAAAATGATTTTTGATCTCTAATTCTAAAGTTTAGTTATGTATTGTGTTTTTGCAAAATTAAGAAAAAACAAAAATTGTGGAGAAATTGGTAAAATGAGACACTCTCAGCTTTTATTTATCTTATTAGGATTTTTGATCTTTTAGACCATTTTTGGACATACTTTACCCTTTTTGTAGTGAAAAATAGTATTTTAAATTTTGAAAATTTAAAAAAATATGAAAATTATTGGACATATAACTAAGACTTTCTGTATGTTTTTTCCATAGAATAAATTATGTAATTTAATATATGAAGTACATATTTATTTTCAAATATTTATTCTTGTGATTAGTGTGGATATTCAGATCAGTTTTTTTGGGTTATCCGTTTGAGTTGGCTGATAACACTTTAGGCTTAGACATGTTTTGTACAATCATAAGGATCTATTCTGGCATTTCTTACATACTGAGTACAAATCGAGTTTTAGGTTTGGATTCGATTCAGACTTTGGATTACAAATTTTATATTTAAATCTACTTTAAATAAAGACAAACTACAATTTTATAAATTTTTTATCAAAAAAAGTTTTGACCAAAATTTTTTTTTATCAAAATTTATTCCACGCTTGAAATAGGTGGATTAAAATCTAGTTCATTGTTAGTCTATATATAATCAAATATTATAACATTATAACTAATCCCTATTATGTCGCAACAAAATAATATCTTCTACCATTTATAAAAATATTCTAATTTCTTCATTTTTTTATCACGAAAAAAGATGCAAAGATAAATCTTAATACGGAATTCTAATTTCTCTTTAATTCTAATCTTTTGGGACCACTTATTTTATCTACATATAATATTTAACCGTGTATATGAACGTATAGTATCTACAACTTATAACATATACCATTAAGTAACGTGCTATACCAAATGTCAACACTATTAAAAACAAATTATATCATGACAGTGATTATTGAGGGTTCATCACCTCAAGTGTTAGAAGCTCTTTTCTCGCCAGGAGTTTCTCCAGACATAGCTCCAAGCATATCAAGAATTCTCCAATCCCTGCATTTTTTTTATCACTGCCAAGTGATGAATATCTCTGATAGGATCAATCTTGTGGCTAAGGAAATTGCTACAAGTGTCACTAAAGACCAACAGCTTCAATCATATGTAGCTCGGGGCGGTCCTAATTGGTTATCCTGCCTTCTCACATTGGAAGCATTGAATGGTGGCTCCTCTTAATGTGTGTTTCACGTTTGGCTAATCCTGGGGTGTGGTGAAGGACGAAGCTATCGCCATGTTTACTCTCCTCTTAGGATGATCTATGTTTTGTTATAGCATCTACTGATGTTTTATTTGCTTCTATGTTACCTTGTTTTTTTCTGTTTTGGTTCTCTTGTCGTATATATGACTTGAACTCTTAATGAATTATTCATCGACAAAAAAAAATAGAAGGCTCGAGTGCTCAAAAAAGGTTAATTATGTTCTGAAATCATTGTTGGGATTGTAATATTAAATTCAAAAAAAATGCCAATTAAACTTAAATCTTATTAACACCACAAATTTAACTCTTATAAAATGTCCACAAAATATAACAAGAGAAAGTAAGTTTTAATACTCGGGTCTTCCGAACCGATATGGGTCAATTCTTTTATGATCCTAGACATTTAGATCAATTAGATATTTGAAAATTCCGATTCGGGTCGTTTGGGATCTATAATTCAAATAACTGTATATGACGGGTCTGGGTTGGTATGCATATTTAGGATCTGAAAAGATTCGAAGTATCCGAAACATAAAAATGCTTAAACACGAAATCTTTAGAAAACTCAAACAAACACAATTTTTTTTGCTTGGATCAATTTAACATTCTTTCCAAAAAAAAAAAGTTACCTTAAAAACAACCGCATGTATTTTTTAGAACTGTGGAAGCAATAGTTCAAAATTTTTCTTTTCTTCTTAATATTCATGTTAGAACTTCAGTTCACATGTTTCATTTTTGGGGTAACAACAATACTGGTCAGTGGTCACGGGCTATTAACGGAGCCAGCTATAGGTAAGGGGGGTCATCCAGCGACGCAGCTAGACTTTAATTTGACATGGATCATAGTTATTCAGGATAGGATAAAAAGATATACAATTGAGATTTGAACTTAAGACATGTGGGTCAAAAGAAGAATTTTGGACCAATTCACCACAATGATAACTGAGCAAGTAAGCCCAAAAACTATATTTTATCCTCTCTCCATTTTTATTTATATGATGTTTAGGAATTTTTTAGTTTCAATATAGTTGACTTTTACTGAAAACAATGCAAAATAAATGACAAAAGACTATATTTACCTATATGTATGTTAGTTTAAATGCTTCACAAGACATAATATCAATTAATATAAAAGGATAGAAAAGGAATTATACTAAGTGTCTTAATTTGTGTGAAATCTCTACAACATCAAATAAAGAAAAACAGAGGGAGTATATTTCATATGGGTCACTTGACACCCTTGCTTCTAAGCCACTGGGGTTAGCTGACCTCACCAAAAGTATAAATTTTATTATTTTATTAAATATATTTTGAAATGGCTTTTTATAAATTATTTTTTAATCTTTCTTATCTTTTCAGTCATAGTCCTTTTAATTTTATTCTCTTTCAGTATATATATATATATAGTAATTCTATTCGATTTTATAAGATACTTTAATGAGTAAAAAAACATTAATAAATTTTTATGTACCATTATAATTTTAAAAATTATTTTTATCATACTAACAAATAAATGACTCTAGTAATCTTGGCTCCATCATTAAAAATATAGCCAGCCAAAACATAATCATAAAAGAAATTTTATATCTACTATTCAAAATATTTCTTCAATTTATTAATTTTTGAAACAAAAGAAAATAATCTTACATAATAATTTCCCAGTAAAATTAAAAGAATTCAAGATTACAAGGTTAAACCAGTTAGCCATAATTTTGTGTTGATGATTTTATAATTTTTGGTTCATACCAAATTAATTGTGAATTAGTTATTTTCGACAATATTAAAAATGTTTAGAAAATATAGAAAAGGTAAAGAGTAACTATGATATACATGTTCTATAGTTTTATAGGTTCATAGATAGTATATATTTTGTCTCCAGCTTAAAATATTTTTTACTGGATAGTACTTTTCTTTTGAAACTCCAAAATGGATATACTACTACACAACAACAACAAATACATTTAATAAAATCAATCGTGGACTAGTTATATTCACATATGTCTGTCTCAAAAGAAAATAAAACGAAACAACCTTTTTAGTTTTTATAGT